GCTGCTGCGTCTGTTCTCTATGCTTTGGTGTCATTCTGTGTTTGAGGGTGTATATGAATGTGTACATGTGTTTATAATCGTGCTTTCGCGCGTGTGTGGGCCTGCCGTTGTCCATAAGAATCAATGTGTTTGTATTGTTTGAAAAAGAAATATTGCAAACAGCAGTAAATAACATAATCCAGCTATTAGGTTTTGTTCCCTAAGACATGGACGTATACTGTACACACCCTCACAAGGACATGACACATGGGAAATTATCCGAATTTTCACTCAGCTTTCTTCATATTTACTGCTGATACCCAAGCAATCATTCGCCGTGTTCCCCCCCCACAGCTACAAATGCAGCGCACGGTGAAAGACGTGTAATCCAATTTCCTTTGTGTATTATTGTTATTATTGGTAGATATCAAAATGCATCACAAACGTATTGTAAATCATCACACTATTTCATACTCAAGAACAGCTCCATTTCCATGTGAACTCCGAAGGAAGGCTGCACCCAGAGAGGACTGAGTGAAATGCATGTTTGTGACTGAGACAGCATTTGCAGAGGAAATAATTTACACTTTGTATTTTCGCAGTCTGACACCTTATTTCAATTAACCTACGCTTAGTTCCAAATGACTTGAAAGCTGATGGGTTATTCATTTATTTTCCATCCTCTAGATTCATCCTGTTCCTCAAACAGTCTGAGGTTAGACTGACTGTCTATTCCTCTTCCATTAGGAGGTGATTGCCACCTAGGTCCCAAATGTCAGACTGTACTAAAGACATGATTATTTTACCTTGGCAAGGTGTGACTCTCCTACAATATGGGAACAAAGAGCTAAACCTCCTTGCTCCACATCATTATGAGATTATTCCATGACAGAGTAGGGGATAGAGCAGAGGACAAGTGAGATCTAATAACTCCTTTCACTTTTTACTTGGCAAATTAGCTGAAACAAGTGCTAAATGGTTGTTCACTTACCCCTTTTTTCCCTCCTTCGCAAGATAAACAGCACCTGGTAATGTGTATGAAACATTACCCTGATGAACAACCATGCGGTGCCTACTGAAACTGAAGCCATTAAGCATAATATAAAAGACACACATGCTGTCGGTTTTCATTTGTCACCGCGCCATTACTACTGAGTCCTGGTAAAGAGGCTCATCTGGGTACCGTGTGTGTGCATCTTTGTGTGTGTGTGTTCCTTAGTGCTCACGACGTGTATGCATATGCTCTGACAACAGTCGGCAAGCATCACCTTTTCCTCTCCTGGATTCCTGTCTCATTGTCTGTCATCAATCCCAGACCTATAACCCCAGCGGTAATAACAGAACCACCGTGATACATTCAAGTGCAACAATGTGTAGGCGTTGAATCATACAAAGAGGTTATGAATATGTCTGTCCAGACTATTGGCAGCTCTTTGGAGAATATCACTCCATGCGCTCACACTGTGTGACAGCTAATTGAAGGTTCCCTTGGGCTGAGTGCAGCAGAGACATAATAATCAAGGATCCTGTCCCAGTTTCCATATAGGCCATATATGGGATTTGCTTCTTCTGTCATAATCAAAGGAGTATTGCAGAGTGAAGGCATTCAGTTGTGTCAGCCAATGTGTTGCCACCGTGGAAAACAGAAATATTTAGTTCATGCGTTGAATCACAAAAAGTATGGAAAAGGCTGCTGCAGCACTATAGCAACAGATCAATACCCATCCCTCACTGTGGCTGCTTATAAACGTATCCACTTAGACATCTCTGTGAAGAAGTGACTGCCTGAGAAGAGTGTCCATTTGAATACCTATGGGTTAATTCCTCCCAGCTTTCATTGGATCAAATTAAACCAAGCTATGGCATAAAGGTAATGAGATTATTGTGTTGCTGGCAGGATTAGGGGCCTGACACGCTATGTACACTGGAACAGCAGTGGACAGAGATGCCGCATTGTTTATGCACAAATCTCCCTGGGAAGAACAGCATACATTCATATTAGCCTCTTTTGCGCACAGTAAAGAGGATTAGTTTGCATCATAGACATGACATGAATCTCCCAACAGGATTATTATAGCCTTTTACTTAACTCCTTTACATAATATGTAATGTTAATGAAGCTCTTTAAAGTATATTCTATGACTGTGCTTGCCGAGAAAAACAAAGCAATGCCCAGACTTCGGCTCAGCAAATCCACCCCACAACAATTTTCCAAATCCCTCTCCAATGGAATGCTTTAGGAGAGCCAAACACATTAGTTGTAGCCTGGTATTAACGAGGCCTGAAATGAATTACTGCCTCAATTTCACCGCTGATAGTAGGTAGCAACAACATAAATAAAAACTTCAAAGAGATTTAATTGTACATGTAACTAGAACATGGAGCTCAACATCCCTGCAAGCCATGACACGCAGCCCTCTTGGGTGAGAGGTGTAGACAAGATACAGTTGTTAGTTGACATGCTCAAGGAATGCGCTTGGATTACAGCAGATGCCTCTTTGATTTATTGGCTGTAGTAGCGGCCCTTTTATCTTAAATCATTCTGTCGAGCGGTGATTCATTTTCATTTTATTTCTGTCTGCATTCTAAACGCCCCATAGACGGAGACTGCTATCTTATCTTTATCATCTTTCATACTTTGGAAATGAGAAACCTATAAAGGGCCCCACAGTTTCTTAGGAATCTTCTGGACGTTTGCCAAGCAACCCAGACCCAGATGTTTAAATAGAAACAATGATAATTAATTCACGAATTATGTCGACACATTCATTTTCTTTGGACTTCAACATTACATGCTTTCGTTTTCAAACTCAACTGGACATTTGCAAACGCTTTCTTTATGGTTATTACTTTCACCTCTGAGTCTTCTCCAGTGAGTCATGAGAAAATAAGCGTTGTAGCAATAGAAAGGTATTGGTGCAGAATGGAGACGGGCATTTCTCCCAGCCAGCTAAATGCTAGTGCTGAAAAGGCCACGAAGCCCAGGTTGTCTCTCAACCGCTGTGACAGGCCGTGCAGCGACAATTTCACTGTGTTGAGTAAAAGGATACAGGTAGGGTGGGAGGGACGGGAGAAGAGGAAGGCTGAGTTGAAATCAGCCGAATCTGTCTTCAGCTCAGTGTCAGAACAGCCAGTCAGCTGTGTACACCTTCATGCCACCTGCTTGTGTGTGTGGGTGTGTGTTTGTGTGTGTATAGAGTTCTAAAGCCCTCAACAGGAGGGAGCACAGAGTCATCTCCTCTGGTCAATAGAGCCTAATTCGCCACAGGTAGCAGCCAGCCTCAAAGCCGATTTCCCTTCAGCTCGACTGTGCCGAAGCCTCTCATCCACACCGGGGGGCCTATGGTGATAGTAGTGGCGTGTGTGTGTGTGTTGTTGTGTGTGTGTGTTGTGGTGTGTGTGTGTGTGTGTGTGTGTGTGTGTGTGTGTGTGTGTGTGTGTGTGTGTGTGTGTGTGTGTGTGTGTGTGTGTGTGTGTGTGTGTGTGTGTGTGTGTGTGTGTGTGTGTGTGTGTGTGTGTGTGTGTGTGTGTGTGTGTGTGTGTGTGTGTGTGTGTGTGTGTGTGTGTGTGTGTGTGTGTGTGTGTGTGTGTGTGTGTGTGTGTGTGTGTGTGTGTGTGTGTGTGTGTGTGTGTGTTGGGGGTGATATCAGCTAGACCCATTATCCAGTGGCAGAAATAGATATGGAGGTGTTGCTTCCGGGGGTCTGGCTGCCTCTCCACTGGAAGACAAACTTTCTCCTACCTCTCCTCTTCAGTTTGTCCCCATTGTTTCTGAACCTTCTTGCTATTGTGTTTTGTTTTCCAACATCATCCCCCCTTTCTCTATATTTTTCCTCCTCCTGCCCCTGACCTGCTATTCTCTTTTACTCTCTGTAGCTCAGCCTCTCCGATGTTTTCACTACTGGTCGTACTGCTGAAAAAGACTGTGCTCAGCTCAAGCAGTGTAACAGCACCTCTTCACATTCTCTGCATGCTCTACAGGCAGCCTAATGGAGGAAATCAAAGTACTCAAATGCGATTAGATTCAGTTTGCACATTGCATTCCAATCGGTGCGCTTTTGATTGATACAGCCCTTCCTTTTAAATTCAACCAATGTTTTTCTTACAGAGGGGGGTCATGTTTTCTTTTTGTACTCAGTGGATGTGGACCAGATTTATATCAAATAGTTTATGTTTATCAACATTTCATCTATAAAACTCCCTTCAGTTTGACTTTTGTGAAATGTAATTACAGTGCTTCTCACTTCTCCGGTGTATCACATGAAAAATGTCTTCATAGTTTTTCCTTAGTGGCTCATGTTAAATGTAAGGAGTGCACTATTTTCTTTTTTCCTGGGACTGAAACATATTGTTTTTGCCTGGGGCATTGCATGAGTTACTGCACACCTGCTTTATCAGAGTATGAGTTGTTGCAAGAAACAACTGCAAAATGAATGTTCAGGCTCCATGGCTACACATACAGATTCTGTGTTACTCTAGTGAAACTTAATCAGCCATGCCACAAAATCTCCCAGCCAGGAATGATTGCCAGGCAGGAGGATGTTACTGTAATTATTGTCTTGTTCATTGCAGACTGAGTGCCTTGGATAAGACATAGTCAACGGGAATGCAAATACGCTTGTTGCACAAAGCACTTAGCTGCAATGTACACAACGGGATACATGTGATATGTTAGTTGCAGGGGACATCGTTAGCGGTATATGAGGGCATCTGCCCACCAGAAGGTCAAGTTGAATAGCTGCCACAGTTTTCTAAGCTCAACCCTTCATATATCCATATCATGCACCCCAGGGATGCCACGCTAATTAGCCAACCTTACATGTATACAACAACCACAGGTCCAACTACCATTTGATTTGTATTCCTCGTATATATTTTTATTCCATAGCACTGGATCATGTGTTCATTAGCACCCATAATAAATGTTTCCTAGAGAGAATCAAGCTCCATAAATCGTGGAGGCGATAATAACATCACGTAGCTGTTATCCTCATCAACATGTTGCTTCTTTCTCTTCACAGCTCCACCACTTTCAGAAGTCACCACGACCCCTCAGCCTCAGAAAACGACAACCACCACCACAACAACCACGGTGCACTGGGGTGTGGCCAACACAAGCTCCACAACAGGGCTCAAGGACGGCAGCAGGGGAGCGCCCAAGCCTCCTCCTGTGATTCTGCAGACTACTTCCCCTCCGCCCCTCGAGTCCTTCCCTTTACCCGAGCGCTTCTGCGAGGCCATCGAGAAAAGAGACATAATGTGGCCTCAGACCCAGAGGGGCATGATCGTGGAGCGACCTTGCCCCAAGGGAACACGAGGTAAACAGCACTTCTGTTCCTCTCAGGGCCGTGTGCTCGCTGCTTTCAATATGACCCGAGGCGTCCCCGGAGAACATGCCAGAGTTTGTTCAGATGTGTCTGATAATCTTGCATACAACTTTTGTATCTATAACAGGCCTCAGTTGAAGTCGGTGTTAAGGGAAACGGTGACGGCAGATTATAAAGCAGTTTTTTTTAGCTGTGTCACTCCAGGTCGGAACATGATTTAGCAATCTGTAACGGCTGTGTTGCGGAGCAGGCTCAGCTGTTCCTCCTGCAGCCTGCGTGGAGACGTGCCTCCCTTATTTGATTGTGTGTGAAATCGTGTTAGTGCTCAGAGTTCGTCAGGCACGGGGATAATTAGGACGAGGAAAAGCATATTGCCACTCTGAAGCAAAAATAGGAATGAGCCGTTTAAAATATTTTCTGAATTAATTGCAGAATGTTCATCTGCCTGAGTTTCCTGTATCCGGCTATTTTCTTTCCTTTAGAGTCTTTAAAAAAGAAAACTATATTCTGAGGCCTTTGTTTCTGAGTGAACCACAGGCAGTCCTTCTCTGGCTTCACATTCATATGAGATTTATCAATTTACATGTTTGTATATTTCTTGTTCGTGTGCAGTTATCTTATCTCTGTCCTTGTCCTGTTTTGCCCTGTCGAGGACTTCCTGGGAAAATAAATCTGATATGACTTGATTTAACTTAAGTCTTCTGTGCTTGTTTTCCCTTTCAGGCACAGCCTCTTATTCATGTGTCCTTTCCACTGGGGCCTGGCACCCGAAGGGCCCTGATCTCAGCAACTGTACCTCCCACTGGGTCAACCAAGTTGCCCAAAAGGTTTGTATAAGCTCTGCCTCAATGTTTTCCCTGTGTCACTGCAATGTGTTTCTTATAAACATACAAAGGGTAGACAAATAATAGAAGCATGTCCTTGTTACTAAGATGGCTGCAAAGCTGGGTGAGATTTGCTTAAAAGTTGCATTTATCAGATAGGAAATCGGTCTGGAAAGTTGTTTATGTTTTCAGAAAACAATTATAAACTATAGAATAAAGCAGAGGTGTCACAGCAGTACATGTGTATATTAGTTGTAACAAAGAGCTCTGTGTGTTTTTCTATCTTACCACACAATTAAAACTGCCACCATGGCAACTTCTCCTATGTGAAGAAAGACAAATCTGGCATTTCACGGACTCATTGAAGTCTGATTTGATGCCTGAAACAGGGCTGTAAATAAACCTTTTCAAAGTCTGTCTTCTTGCATTCCTGTGAACATTATTCACTCCCTCTCCCTGCAGATCCGCAGCGGTGAGAATGCCGCTAACCTGGCCAACGAGTTAGCCAAGCACACCAAAGGGCCCATCTTTGCCGGGGACGTCAGCTCCTCGGTGCGCCTGATGGAGCAGCTGGTGGACATCCTGGACGCTCAGCTGCAGGAGCTCCGGCCCAGCGAGAAGGACTCTGCCGGACGGAGCTTCAACAAGGTATATTAGTGTTCCCAAAAGTAATGCAGTAATGTAGAGTAGCTGTTATTTTGTCACATGCCTTTCTGTATTTCATCTTTTCAAGTTCAGCTAAATTATGAGACAAACAGACAAAAAAAGGTTGTTATATTATTTCAGACTCTGGCATCTATCAGAGATCTTAAGCACTTTGAGCTCCAGGTAAGCAGGTCTGCGGCACATGAAAAGGGGAGTGGCTGGATCATTCAGTAGTTACTTTGTAAATCGACCGATTCAGTCAGGGCTACAACGCCTATACTCATCAAATTGTGCAAATTACATGTCTCTATTTTTATGTGTTCTTTTTCTTTTCTAATAAAAAAGCTTCAAAAACGAGAAAGGACATGCAGGGCATACATGAAGGTACTGAAGCAATGCCTCTGCCCACTCTGCTTGCTGCCGTCCCCCGTCCCCTTTATTTCCTGTACTACTGTATCTGCCCCAGCCCCAGTTCAGCAGCATGTCCCCTCTGCACTGTCATGTTCTCCCTCCTCCCTGTGCTTCCTGCTTTTTTGAGTAATTGCCTTACACACAGACACAATCGTACCTTAAGTGCTCTCTAAAGTCAAAGAAAAGTCATCTCCTATTACAGAGATGGCTTCTTTACATGGATGTGTCTCTGTGTTGTTCCCCCTCTATGCGTTGGCAGCAATGGTGTATTTCGTTTTTCATTCTGTTATTCCCTATTATATGTTTTCTAAGTGTTGACTCAAGATTGCACGTCTGGATGCATAACATCGCAACTCAAACAAACACCCTGTTCCTACATCCCTCTCATTATTCATTTGCTGAAGGATTTGCTGCTCTGTTACATTTTTTGCTTTTATACCATTCAATATAAATCCCTCTTGAATATTGCATCAAACACAGCTCACTTGTGATTTATTCAAACGCTCTTTTCTTTTTTTTTTCAAGGACCATTACCTGACCTTTTACTGCATGTAAAATCAAAATTGTGGCTCTTGTTTCACAAGGACATAGGTTTTTAGGTCATACAAGTCATTGTTTCTTAAATTAAACTTGCAAATCTTAAGCTCTATTTGGTTAATAGGGTTAGACGGGTTAAACCATTTTTTCCCCCTTCTTCTTGAAAGCTAACAGCCTAGGTTCCTACATCAAAGTATTTTGGCCATATATATCCCTCCACCATTAGGGAGATCAGTGTCCTCCACCTGCCACCAAAGTCACCCCCCTCAATCCAAATCTCTCCTTCGGGACGGTATTAAAATGGATCGGGCTAATTAACCAGTCAATGGTAGTGCGCTCATAAAAAGAAAAGAGGAAAAGGGAAAAAAAAAGACATGTCGGTAGTCACACGAGCTCCCTAAAGATGACTCATCATAATTTGTTGTTTAACGTCACAACATGTAGATTTGAGGTGAGAGAAGAAGTCGGCCGCGTTAGAGGGGTGTGTCGATGTTAATGGTGGCATGCGAAGATTTAGGACAGACATCGTTGAGTCAGCATTATCTGACATCTGCCATACTTGACGCAACATCACTAACAGCTGCCCCCCCCCAACCTCTCCGCCAGCCGTGCCGACATTGATTCCCTGATTAGACTCATTGATTTGATTATTTCTACGAAGAAAACTCAGCCTGGATCTTACGCCTAATTTATCTGGTGTTTTTGCCCTAAGCTGTTCAGGTGGCAGAGAGTGAGAGGCTGGAAACATGTTTGCGTGAAGGATACACATCAAGTGAAATTCTTACCATATTTATTTTTGAAGTGCTTTTTGCCGGGTGTCTTAATGACATTTATACAGCTAAGTATATGGCATTGACGACTAGAAGATAAAGTGTAAGAAAAAGTTAAGAAAAAACGAAATCTACATACAGACCAATTTGTAATTAGAGAATTTTAATTGCAGCTTTTGGCTCTTTAATCGGGCCATTTCTTATTATCCTGTTATTGGACAGAGCTGATAGGCTGTGACCCTAAACGTCTGCCCTGATGCCGCGTCCTTGAAAAATAAATTGAATCCGCACCATCTCTCGTGATGCTCCTGTTTTTCCTTTCATGCAGTTCATCCTTCATGATCATCGCAAAAATGTTTTTCTTGTTCTGTAAATGGCTCTAATTAATCTATCATGTCATACTGTATATACACCCAACACACAGTGTCCTCTATGACTTTTTTTTCCATCACATTGATTTATTTGAATCCTCACAGAAGTGATGCTTCTCCACAGCATTTCATCTATTCAGTGTCTGCATGCTCCTGCTAATGCTTGCGCAAACTGTGTTCTTTTCTCAGAGTTACTCAAGTACCTTTGTGTTTTTTGTGTGTGTGTGTTTGTTCGTCTGCTTCGACACAGGCCATTGTGGACACGGTAGATAACCTTCTGCGACCGGAGGCCTTGAAGTCCTGGCACGACATGAACAGCACGGAGCAGACGCACGCCGCCACCATGTTACTGGATACTTTGGAGGAGGGGGCGTTTGTCCTCGCCGACAACCTCATGGAGCCTGCCATCGTTAAAGTTCCTGCAGACAACATAAGTAAGTAAAGCAAGAGTTTGTGGTAAGCAAATGACAAGAGCTCTTGATTGATGCAAGCTCAGTTAATTTGATTACTTCCAATTCATTGAGAGAGTATTTGTTGTGATAGGAAAACAAGGCCGCCACATAAAAAGGGACTTTGTTTTCATAATAAGCATTTAAACCTTGGGGGAAAAGGAAAGCAACGCATATTAGGTTTAACGAGTCGCTTACTGACAAAGTGATGAATATCAGACAATTAAATAGACTGGATTCTCTGATTACGCACGCTTAGTTTATAAATGTATGAGTCTAGACCTTGAAACTCTATACAATAATGTGAACATTAGCCTGCTGTGGAGTCAGAAAAAAGACATTGTTTATCCACAGCTTCCTTTTTTATTTTATTCTGCTGTTAGACCATATAAGGACGGCTTTTATTTAGTTCCTCTTTTCCTCAGCAGTGTTGTTTTATTCATATTAGCAAGAGTCTCTCAGGGATGAAATGATTACTTTGTTTGACATTTTTATTGTGCAGCTCACTCTCTTGTTCTGTGCCAACATTTCAGTTTGTGAAGAAAATGTCAGGAGAAATGCGTGGGCATCAATATACTCTCCGGTCCATTCTCTCGTCCTTTCACCTTTCATCTCTAACCCATCCTCTTGTCTTTCTGCAGTTCTGGATGTGTATGTGCTCAGCACAGATGGCCAGGTCCAGGATTTTAAATTTCCACAGTCCAGCAAGGGCGGTATCTCAATCCAGCTGTCGGCAAACACTGTGAAGCTCAACAGTCGGAATGGTAAGCTCACTAAGACATAACAAAACAAAAGAAAAGTAAAAGAAACTTTGTGCTAAATGTTCTGCCCACTCTCAGAGAAAACTGCTTATTCAATGTGTGTTTAACTATGGCTCTCATTATTGTTTTTGTGAAAAGCTAAATAGTTGGTTTGAGTGTATAAGCACAACAATGGAGTTTATCTAAAAAAACTCCAAGCCCTGTGAATTGAGCTGAAAATGACAGGCTTTTCAAAAGATTTCTATCTCTATCTCATCATTCACTCATTTCTGCCGTTCCTTTGTTGAATATTTTAAATGGAATTTCATTGGAATAAATGTAGTTTCTCAATCTCTGATGTCTTTCGTCGTCTTTCACTCTTTACAGGAGTTGCCAAGCTGGTTTTTGTGCTCTATAAAAATCTGGGCCAGTTTCTCAGCGCTGAAAACACAACCATCAAGATGGCCAACGAGGCTTACGGCCGCAACGTGTCTGTGGCTGTCAACTCTGACATCATCGCTGCCTCCATCAACAAAGAGTCCAGCCGCGTATTCATTAACGACCCGGTGATTTTCACCCTGGAGCACATCGATGTGAGTCTCATGGAGAGGTCATATTAAATAACACCAGGAGGGAACATTGAGAGTAGACAGAGATCTGCAATTTGAATTGTAAATGTCGGGCTAGGTCAGTCTGCAGTTTATTTAAGTCATTGAACATCAAATTAAAGGAGTCTTTAGAACCTAAGTGAATTCTTAATGAAAACTAATTCTTTAATCAACATTGGGATATAAATTATACCCATTTTATTTTATAGTGCGGGAAATTAACTCCTAGATTAGCCGTACGATCTAGGATGAAATTACTGGAGCACCAATTATCTTTCGTCTTTTAAAGTTGTCACTAGAGTTCCCAGAGGGCCATGCGTGACTCCATTCTTTATCAGAGACATTTTGCAATTCCAAAGACATGCCGTCAAACAATTATGCTCCTCCGTTATTAAGGCCTCATATACCCAACTATGCTTCGGTTGATTTGGCAAGCATGTGCCAAATGAGATACAACATATGAATTGCTTCATGAGAGCTGTGAAGTGAAACATTCTCATCTATATCAGTGCGTGACATACTTTGTATGAGTAGGGGGTAAATGTCCTCCGTGTTCTACATGTACTTCAATTTCAGGCAGTCAATTATTTGGACACTTAACCATATCTCTTGTTATCTGCAGATTGAGCACTACTTCAACTCCAATTGCTCCTTCTGGAATTACTCTGAGAGGAGCATGATGGGCCACTGGTCCACCCAAGGGTGCAAACTCCTGGACTCCAATAAAACCCACACCACTTGCTCCTGCAGCCATCTCACCAACTTTGCAATCCTCATGGCGCACCGTGAAACTTCAGTATGTCACATCATTTTTTTTATATCAATATTTTAACTGATTACTCTTTAAAACTGAAGTTTAATATTCCTAACATGTTTTCCTTTCTCTTAAGCAAAGCTAAAACCCCAAGCATCACCATTTCTAGATTACCAGGATCAGAAAAGAATAGTGGAAACAAAAAAATGTTCAATAATAAATAGCTGGAATCTTTTTTTATTAATGAATAAATAATTATAATAACATGACTATTTTCTGTTGTTGCAGCTTGCAATGCTGTCCCCGTAGATTTTTTTGTAAAACACACATCACATTTCCTACATTAGCAAAAAATATGCATTTCCTAAAAAGTACTAAACTTAAACCAACCCTACGGTTACAAATATGGCATGCAAGAATCCCAATATAAAGTGGGTTACACTTCATTCAAATATAAAACTTAAAGTAAAATGTCTTACCTTTTTGATTCCTGAAACTTGTTTGCTATTTTGTAAATTGAAAGGAAATTGACTTTTCATGTAAAAAAACGAAATCACTTAATTTTGATGAATCCATTTTGTGGCCTCATATATGTTCATTGGGGTTGGAAAGATGAGCAATTTTTTGGCTTAGTTTTTTTTTTTAGCATAATTGATCAATTTGATGTAATAGAAATGCTTCTGATAAGGTCAAATTAGACAAAGACAAACATAACACTAAATAACAACAAATGAAGTATTTATGGCAGAACTGAAAGAAACCCATATTGTCATCTTTCTTTTTAGAAACTCATTTTTAAAATGTTTGCTGTTTACCTTTTGTTTCCTCCAGATTCACGACAGAGTGCACGAGCTGCTTCTGACGGTCATCACTCGCGTTGGGATCGTGGTGTCCCTCGTCTGCCTCACCATCAGCATCTTCACCTTCTGCTTCTTCCGGGGCCTGCAGAGCGATCGCAACACAATCCACAAGAACTTGTGCATCAATCTCTTCATCGCAGAGTTAATATTCCTAATTGGTATCGATATGACGGAACCCAGGGTAAGCTGGAACGATTTCACCCCATTGATTTGAGTTTGATTCATTCCCTCTCACTTCATCTCCTTTCGCCCCCCCAAACAAAACAATAGACCCTTTCAGGGGGAAATTGATGAGTCGTTAAGCATTGTTTGTTTCTATCCTTCTCTGCCTGTCCTCAACATGACATGAGTGGGACAGCAACATTAATACACATTACTAAAGGGCCGTGTCTTCCACTTGACAGCTCGTTTTTCCTCTTTCACTTAAAGCCAGCGTTGCCATGGCTGACCCTGCATTCATGCATATTTTCCTTTCTTTTTACCTACACTTTCTCTCAAGCACAAAAAACGTTTTTTTGCAAAAAGCTGGGAAATGTAAGCTTGAAATCCTGAGCTGCATGATTAAATCTACTAAATGTAACCCTACATCCAAATGGTATTTTAAATTGCTGCCGTACTGATGGAAATCTAAGCCTGTGCATAGTCAGAGTCCATGTGGTGAATGAATATTCATTACTTCTTTCATCAATTTCGCTGAATGGGTGAGGCAGCAGTGGTGTGTTTTCAGCGGGTTTTAATAGAAGACATACGGTTTATGATATACAATTTTCAATAAAAGAACCGCTACGAATATCCCTCTTGTAATATATAATAATTGTTCAACTTCAGGTTAACTTAAAAACCTTTTATTTTTTTAAATGGATTGCATTTTTTTCCTTTTAAAAATGTTCATATGATCGTCTAAATCGGTGTTGTTTTCTCTCAGATTGGATGTGCCATCATCGCGGGGATCCTCCACTTCTTCTTCCTGGCTTCCTTCTCCTGGATGTGTCTTGAAGGGGTCCAGCTGTACCTCATGCTTGTGGAGGTCTTTGAAAGTGAATACTCTCGGAAGAAGTATTACTACGTGTCTGGTTACCTCTTCCCTGCCATCGTGGTCGGTGTCTCCGCAGCGATCGACTACAGGAGCTACGGGACCAAGAAAGCGTGAGTGCAGCTTTCTGAACACATCCTTGGAAATGCAGAGCAGACACACGCTGGATGCAAACTGTGTGGGCCTACCTGCTGTGACTGTATGTGGTAGCTTTTGAAAATAAATCTACTCATCATTCCTGCCAGGGCTTTTTTTGCGCATCCCCGTAGACTACACCAAAACATTTGAGCTCCTTTTACCGGAGATGGGGAGCTGTTCAATTTTTTATGTCATTTGAAAGTGGCTGACAGACTCAACACTGTGGTTTCAGGGGGAGGCGGGCTACATTAATGCCTTTCTGCTTAAAGACCCTCCTGTGACCTCTTGTTTGTAAATGGTCTCTTAAAGAGAAGAGCACTGTGCCGAAAAACCTTTTACGTAGATTAATGGCCATATCTCGGCTAAAACCCATCTATCAAGAGAGGTTACACGGGGTCTTCCCTTTGTTTTGTACAACTGTATTAATGTTCAACCTGTGAAAAGAGCCTTTGAAAGAGCTCCAATTGAAGCTAGAAATTACACACTCAATATCTACAGCCCAAGTAACCAAAAATTAATTTCCTTGAATATGTTTTTGGCCATTAGAGCAAGAAGACAAAGCTGATTTTGTTTCTGTACTGTGTGCTGAAGTGTGTGTTTCTTTGTCATAGGTGCTGGCTAAGTGTGGACAATCATTTCATATGGAGCTTTATAGGACCTGTCACCTTTATCATCATGGTAAGCGGTTTTTATTTTTCTCTGAATACTGCGACTGACAGAATGAGGAAGGGACTGAGAGGCTGAGATGAAGGAGGGAGATAACGGAAGTGAGAGAGTTGAACTGAAGCAAAAGTCAGCAGGATTTTTGCTCCGCAGCGATGACAGGTTAATTCTGCGCCAAAGACAGATTTGGAAGCATCCGACAATTCTCTCTGCCTCTTAACACCTGACAAGGATCAGGATTTGTTCGTGTACTTTCACCCCACTTTCGCACAATTCCCATGAAGTCTCACATCACAGGCATAACCTAATGGCCTTCCAGTTACACTTTTTATGATAAAGGAAGAAAATAGATAAAAAATTGCCTCAAGGTGTAATTTTTACAGCACACACTGTTAGATGGCAATGTGAGATTTTATAGGTCCTTTTTGTCCCTCCTCTGCATCTGTGTGTGTGTGTGTGTGTGTGTGTGTGTGTGTGTGTGTGTGTGTGTGTGTGTATGTGTGTGTGTGTGTGTGTGTGTGTGTGTGTGTGTGTGTGTGTGTGTGTGTGTCTGTGTGTGTGTGTGTGTGTGTGTGTGTGTGTGTGTGTGTGTGTGTCTGTGTGTGTGTGTGGTGTGTGTGTGTCTGCCCACAGTAAATAGCAGATGACAGTGTTGGGGAGAGGAAGAAAAAGAAAAGGCACCTTTCTGTTTGATGAAGGACCATCAGGGGTGAAGGACATATAGCATCATTATGACATATGTCCCATTGAGCCATGCAATTATTTACTGGTCATGACATTATTATCTCCCGCTCCATCAGAGAGGCTCAGAAGAATGAGTCCTCGGGGATCCTTCCCGCCCTGATCAAAAAAAGAAATAGCAGGTGGTATTCCTCCGATAGGTCCTCTCACCATCTATTGCTTTGCCCTCGTGCACACCGAGGGATGAGCAGGCCCTGCAAACTTGTCTTGCTGCTGTGCTGGGAGGACGGGTGGTATTTGTTCAGCACTGTGTTCATTATCCAGCATTATGGCTGCTACTGTATCTACAGATGCAGTGACCTCTGTTGAACACCAAACTGACACTGAAAATATACCGGAGCGAGGGGGCACACATGTCAAATTCCAGCGAGTCTTTGCACACCATTGGCAGACCGCTAGCCGCTTTCAAAGTAAAGCTATGGTACAACTCTTTGTCTGTGTTGTAACAGAACGGATAAAAGGTGAATCTTTCACAGCAAGAGACATTGCCACTTGATGTAGCTTTTTTTTAAAATGTCGGAGGAAGAGCACAGGCAGGACTACTGTCGGCGTTTGATTGAAATGTTTTTGATGAAATGGTGAAAAGCCTGGCTCTTTTTGTGTTTTCATTGATTTTCCTTTTTCCTCTCAGCACCCGCTTTGAATGTGTGAGCTTATAATTGAGGTGGAGCTAACATTGTATTAAAACAAACACACATTTCTCCCTGTCTCAGCAAATGCTCTGTCAGCCCCACAGGAATATGTTTCCTTTCCCTAAATTGGGCCCTCATTGTTTTCCAATCTCGCATTGCCTTCATAATGATTTGCATGAAAAATGCGTCTGCAGTGGAAATGGTGATCAGGATCCCGGTGGTGATGACCGGAGAGATAGAATCATGACCCTGTGAGGAGCTAATGTATTGTAGCAGAGCTAATGTGTGACAGGAATGAGCTTTTTGCAGCAGTGGCTCGCGCATCGCACACTGCTCCTCTGATTCCGTGCAACAATTGACTCAAAAAGACAAAGTACTGTGGAAAGGGGCATCTCAGGGGAGCATGCAGGAGCAAGGTTTGTCTACACCATCCGTGACCCTGGTTTCTCTACAAATTGGCTTTGTCCTTGTCAATGAGGGAGAGAGAAAGGAGGAGAAAAGCAAAGAAAAACTACTGCTTTGGCTCATGTCTCGATCCCCACCTGCCGCCCGGGCCATGTTTGTGCCAAATAACATTGTTTTCGAACTAGGATGGTCATGCTTTGTTCTCTTCCTTTTCTTTATCCTCCCTATTTCTTGCTTTCCTTTTCTTAGTTTTTTTTCGCTCCTATCTGAAAGAATGCCCTAAATACTGACGGAAAACAAAAGCCGGTGGAGGGTATTTAGATCCTTGTTCTCCGGCAGAGGTTGCCCTGTCTCTGGGCACTGGGGGTATTAGCTCCATGAAAGGGGAACATGGAAGTAATGAGTGGTGGGGGGAGCCATTAGTATGCTTGAGATAGCTTCAACACAAGGCCTGTTGGATCATGACACGTCAGGAGCAGTTCTTATCATCCGGACAGCTCCATCTGCACCTTTAATATTTTATCCCGTGCAGTTCATCTGGAGTTCAGTGTATACACACACAGTCCACTTCAGAAGAAAAAAAAAAAAAGCTTTCTCCTTAGTCCCAGTGTGGCGAGGTGCTTCTGCATGGCTTGCAGTGATGATTCAGAGACAGAGTGAAGGATAGAAGTAAGGCAGCTTCGCTCAGGCACAGGGGATCCCCGAGGAGGGCTGCGAAAGCATGTCGGTGGGGGGGGGGGGACATGTGCCGTGCTGCTAGGTAACTTTAAAGTACTGTGTCCCTCTCCTCTGTCTCATTGGATCCATGTCACCACTCAAGGCTGTGTGAAAGGGTTTTTCAAAGTCCTCGCCCTCCACCCCTCCCCCGCTGTCTGACTCATGCAGGCGGCTGATAGAAATAATGGCTGATAGCTGCGAAACAAAACATAGTTTCAGTGCCGTCTGTGATATAAAAGAAGGTTCATGATTCAGGTTTTTTTTTTTTTTTCTCCATTTGCCCCTCTCCTTGCGGCCTGGGTTATTGTGAGCGGCTCCATGAGTTGATTGCATGTGGAGGGGTGATGTATTGATCACAGGCAGTCTTTTGATAGCAGCGTGCAGCAGAACACGGACAATTTCTGTTCAAGAGTGAATGGCCACAGTCTGTAAGTCCAGCTCCAAAAGGCCACTCATTTATTTCATGCCCTTGTTCTGGCTATGCATCTCTTTCTCCTGCCAACGTTTTGCTGTTTCTAAGATAACAAGATAACACTGAAATGCTCTGCTTATAAGGCTCACCTGGAAAAGGCTAAGGTTACAGCAAATGCTATGTTGTTATTTGTTTGTGTTACTCACCCTCTAATACAGTATCTGCTGTTTTTTTGGTTTGTTTCTGATCCTTTGATATGCTCTACTGGAGATACATGTTTCAAATTCAGTTTTTTAGATATTATTTATACATGCCCAGCTTGCAGTACAAACGCAGTCCAGTTTCTCTGCTGTGAGTGCATGTACATGCTGTGTTAGGGACTAGTTTGCCCCAGAATAAATGTTTTCGAAGTAGGCCTAAATTATTTGGAGCGGCTCCTTGCTGGTCCACCCAGCCTTTGTGTCTCTAAATCACAATATTGATTTTTAAGGTAGCGAATAAATGCGCTCGGGAACGAAGCACAGAGTATCCTTGTCTGAACGTGATATGTGCCGCCGCCTCCCTTAAGATTTAATACATTCAAACCAGAAAGAAACGCCATCTCCTTCCCCCTCTTTGTCTTTCTCTCTTTCCATCTGTCCACACAAGAATCGAACGACATATACCATGTTCCCTCAAGCCTTTTGTAGCTGGTTACACCTTATAATATTTCACTATGTGCATAAAATGATATGCAGTTGTTTTGTACAACAAGATGGTCTCTGATTTCTCCTGCTACTTTTCATTCCCTTCTGACTTCTGCCAGACTGCTGCTGTTTCTTTTTTTTCTTTTCACTGTGATGGATTTTAATGCGTTTCCTTGCTCTTATTGATATAGAATGACACTAAATTTGGCGCCAGTCGGCCCGTCTGAGCCGTCTGGAACGATAGATGTTTATTGGATTAGTCTGTGGACATGCAGAGATTTGAAGGCTCTCCTATTTTAATACTTATAGACAAATTAACAGTTTTTTTTCTCTCTGTCTGCTTTTCTTGCATCATACATCTTCATGTATTAACACTGCCATTACTCTGTTTTGACAGCTCAATCTCATCTTCCTGGTCATCACAATGTACAAAATGGTGAAGCACTCCACCACCCTGAAACCAGACTCTAGCCGACTGGAGAATATAAAGTAAGTAAAGGAATAAACGCAGAACCCCGCTTTATCCTGCTTATCAGCAATTTAACACTGGTGATATTTTGGAACAACCCTCAGGAAAACTAAGGCTATTTTACTCATGAGGTATTTTATTTATTTTGTTACCTTATAATGTTTCATGGCAAAATGCATTACCTCCCCCCACCTCCTAACCAAGATACACGCCTGGACTAGCAAGTGACGTGAGAATACATTTATTTTTTCTCAGTGTGAAATTATCCAGTTCAAATGGAACTTTTTTTCAGAAGAATTCATTATTCTGACTCTGGAGATTTCAAATGTTACGCAGTTTTTTAATGAGACATTTGGCATGACTTAGCTGTCATGATGACTACACAGACTTTGTGAGTCCTCTTTACATCCTTTGTTGTTTTGCTCGCAGCCACTAGCCGCAGAATTGCACAGACATGACACAGACACACACACACACACACACACACACACACACACTCACACACACACATATCACTCTACGGCTGCAGCTTAACTATGCGCTGTTAGCTCTGCTAGGGCGGGGTACAGTGGAACAGCTACCATGTGTGTTTGCCGCTGGAACATGTCGAACCTTTTTTTATAGATCCCAGCGTCTAATCCCAAAAAAGAAAAATTCCTTCCCTACACAACCGCCACCACACGACCACCACCCAGCACCACCATCCCCATCAAGTGTAGGCTTCCTCAGTCGCCTCAACATTTATGACGTGTTCGGTTTTGGGAAGGGAAATTATGTTTTTCTGAAGCACTAATTGTTTTGTTGTTTTTTTTGCACTTCTGTGAAAACAATATTTATTGCTGTTCTCTTACATTTGGGGTTATATGGTTTTGTAGCTCGCAGTAGCACAGCCTCATGTCATTTTGCACAATTATGTTTCGTATTTCGACTTCCACCACTTTGTGTTGGAGCAGCTATTTTCAACCAGTGTTTGTTATTTCTCATGTTTCCTTAATGAATGTTTGCAACATAACAGCACTGCGGTGAAACTGCAATCAGGAAGAACAGTCCGAAAAAAAGCTTATTTAGACTTCTGGGTTTATTTGAGATAGACTACTCCCTTATCAAGGAAACCACAAACAAACACATTTACCCAACATGGTGACATTCAACATGGGGTTATTTGTTCTTGGATGTTAAAAATGTTTAAGCTTGTTTATACTGCAGAAATACATTGTGTATTGATAGCTGTTTTCTTTGTGGTCTTTTTTCTGTTTGTTTTTTGTGCCAACATTTGGTCTGAAAGTCAGTTTAGCACCAGTGTCACTGCATGTTGCATGTAAAGGCAAAGTTAACGCACAGCCTGTCCTTTCTCCTCTCCTCCCATCCTCCCCCTCTCTCTGTCCTGCGATGCGCACCAGTAATTATCGCGTTTGTGACGGCTACTATAATACAGATTTGCCTGGGTAAGCTTCCACTATATACCTCAGATAATTTCACCCATACAACACCACCACCCACGCATACAATAGCATAAATGCAAATTCAACCACAGACAATGTGTTCCGACCAAATGCTGTACACAGACATTTTAATTGAATCATGAACAGCGAAACATACAACTCTCAGTTAGACCCTTAATAATTTCATTGCCCCAGTGATTTCCCTTGGATCAAAGACATCTATACTCCACTGCCGTCTAACCCCGCTGTGATGCGCTCTGATCTAATTGTGTTTCTCTTTTCCTGCTTATCATGCTCTCTAGCTATGAAGATAATAAACGGTTTATCAAGTAAGGACATGTTGCCCAGAAGTCTCCTCTTCAGCTTGTACAGTAGTTGATCCTCTCTCCTGGTTTATTCTGTCTCTCCTTTATTTGCCTTCCTTTCTTTCGCCGGTCCATCCTCTCCCAAACTGCAGCTTCAAAGCTACTCATCCAGTGTCGATGTGATTGTTCACTTTCACCGTGTCTTTTCGTCTTGAAATACAGTGTTGTTGTTGTTGTGTGTTTGAGCGCTGAACTGTGACCGCTGCTGGTGTCTGAAGGCTCCACAGGACCTTCACACACCAGGCGGGGTGTCTCCTTGAACTCTTTCCACATCTGCTTAGTTCTCCAGCTCTGATAACACAATCACTAGATAAATATTTAGTGTATGATAGTATCAAACGCCTATTTGGAATCACGCTGTGCTTTTTGATTATGCTGTTCTCTATGTTCTAACACGTAAAAAGTTATTTACAGAAAACCAGATCAAGGTTTTGCCTCCTTCCTGTCTGTTTGACGACAGGAGCTGCATTGGACTCTGGGCTGAGAGTGTGTGTGGATGGAGGGGCGGGAAATGTGTTGATGATGGCATAGGTGTTGTTTCTCATTTTATTGTTTTCCTCTTGCCTGGTTTACAGCTTTTTTTCCTAGTTTCTCATAGTAATGGTGATTATAAACCCACTCATCATCCTCTCTGATAACTAAATGCCTCTCATGCTGGATTTGTCCTCTCTTTGTCTTTTTTATTATCTTGTACTTCAGATCCTGGGTCATGGGAGCGTTTGCTTTGCTGTGTCTGCTCGGACTCACGTGGTCCTTCGGCCTCTTCTTCATCAACGAGGCCTCGATTGTCATGGCTTACCTCTTCACCATATTCAACACCTTCCAAGGAATGTTCATCTTCATTTTCCACTGCCTTCTCCAGAAAAAAGTAAGTCAGCCGCCAGTGTTCAAAGACAAAGTGATCTTTCTCCCAAGGTGAAACGCTGGTGTGGAAAAACCTTTGCTCCTTAATGCAGAATTCACAGAGCACCACACACTGATAAGAAGAACAAACACTGCTGGCTCCAAGATATTGGTTAAGTCATATGTAAAGTCAACAATGTACTGTAGGTAAACATTCGGCTGTTTGCTCGCACAGGTCCGCAAAGAGTACAGCAAGTGCTTCCGCCACACGTACTGCTGCGGAGGGCTGCCGACTGAGAGCTCCCACAGCTCTGCGAAGACCTCCACCACCCGGACCAGCGCTCGCTACTCCTCTGGTACCCAGGTAGACCCCCGCTTCATTCACTCAAAGACTCCCTGAGCACCAAACCAGAGGAACACAGTGTTAAAACTGTAATACTTTCATCATGAGCATGACTAAAGAAAATGCAAATCCTGCATTTTAGCTTCAGTGGTAGATCAAGTGACACAAACATTATACCACATTTTACAAGCAGCATCCTCTGTACTGCATGAGAACCTTTCTTCTGTTCTGCCCCCTTTAGCACTTGCTTTTATCTTTTTCTCACTAACGTCATGTGCATGGGATACAGTACTGCACTCTTTAAAGAGCATTGCAAGCACATTTTACTGCAGGAAAAGCCTGAAATTCCCCCCCCCAAAAAAAAAACAATGTTATCTTTATGCCTTAGTTATTAAGGAATAGCCCTTATGAGACAATACGTCTTTGAGCATTAGGAAAAGCGCTATAAAAATCCAATGTAATATTATTATTATTATGAATACCTCCAGATGTATTGGGCTTAGAGAGGAACATCCCAAAGTCGATCAAAAGTGGACTCGCAATGATTAGTTTGAAAACAGACATACATAGAAAGTGAACATTAGCACTGCCCTTGCTTCACTGGAGGAGTGGTAAAGTCAGTAGTATGTACACAGAGAATAATGAGAGTTGGTCTGAAAGGTGAGCGGGCTTGTTTGAAGTCCTAATGACTGTCCCTTGTTGACCTGACAGAGTCGTATCAGGAGAATGTGGAATGACACCGTAAGAAAGCAATCTGAGTCCTCCTTTATCTCAGGTGACATCAACAGCACCTCCACCCTTAACCAAGGTCAGTTCACACCTCATTTCTCTCCACATGCACACCTATGCACACATTTCATCATCCAGCTAAAAATACCTCCTTCAAGTACAAATGATCTCAACCTGCCGTAGAGGATCCTAATCGTAATAAATGCCTTCAAAGATGTAGACTTTAGTCTAGGCTCCCTGTGCTGCCAACCAAGGATTACAAAAATCCGTCCTCAAATACTCTGCGCTGTCATTCTGGCTGCTAACGTCAGACTCAAATTGGGGCAAGGCTAGAAAAGCGTTTTTATTTAAGTGCTGGCTGTCTAAAAGTCCATACCCAGGATCTGGGGAAACATAAACACAAGTAAAAACAGGGAGGGCAAAAAGAAAAGTTATATTTCAGGAAAATCTTAACACGCAGAGAGGCCATTTGTTGCCTGGCATGTAAGGTGACCTCTGTTACTTTACAGAGGGATTTATGGGGGCGGGAGAAAAAAACTGTCATTTATTATTTAGCTTGAGCACAAATATGATGATGAGAAGATGATGTTCAACTCTGACTGACCTGGAGTGCTTAGTGTTTTGTTAGGCTTTCTGCTGCCTCTGAAATGGCTTTTCAAGCATGCGAGAGAAAAAAGGGTTTACAGCGAGGTGGTTTTACTCCCCTTCCACCCTCCTCTGACTGCTGTCGCTACAACGCTCTCTGCCTTCGCCTCGCTTTTTGCTTTCACTCACACAAGGCAAAACATTACACCTAGGGTTTTAAACATAGACTGTATATATTAAAAAAAAAAGCACATTTTGACTTGCCAACACAACTGTAACAATAAGGAAACAGTAACACTCTCCTTCAGTAACACTTCCTGGAGATGTTAATGTAAAGGTTGGATATTGATCACTCCAGGGTGTGTTAGCCTAGTTACCCCGGAGAGTCAGTGCACTAAAAGAGGGCTCTATCTCCTGGAAGCACTTCCCTGTCATAAAAAACATCCCTGGAGACTTCCCAACATGACAGATGGCATTTAACACAGGTGATAAATGGCAGTGGAAATACTTCACATCCTTAAAACACACCGCAAGCTGAGGAAAATAAAACGTAATGTTACATGAGGTTTGGAAAGAATAGTCAAAATGTAAGTCTAAATAATGATTTTCATATGCAATCTGAGGCGGATTCTGCTCTTCAGCGAGATTAAATGTAGGCGTGATTCAAATTGTCTAACCTTTGCACCAGGTCAGTTCGATTTTGAAATGTTATACAAAAACATAAGTAAACATAACCAGTGAATACAAATTGATGAGCTTTAGTAATGGTTGAAACATGTGTTTATAGTTATAAAAGACCTGCAACACAATTAGAAGTTGCCTGGAAATTTGAAAATGGTACCTAAACGTTCTTAATCATCTGAACAAAAGGTTGAATAGTTGTTTCTTTTTGCTCCCTGGTTGCCTCTCAAACCTTAATCTGCCTTCTCAACTTCCAACTAAACATCCTGGGTGACACCATACTCCTCACATGCACAAAATTCATTTCTCTTCTCCATGAAACGTTCAATCACTGTCCACTGACTGCGCCACACTAAACTGCTCTTCTGTCTTGCCACTCCAGGAATGACCGGGAATTATCTACTAACAAATCCTCTTCTTCGACCACAAGGCACTAACAACCCTTATAACACCTTACTGGCTGAGACAGTCGTATGTAACACCCCCACGGCTCCAGTGTTTAACTCGCCAGGTGTGCTTACCTAATACTTTCACCTGCTTTCAGGCTTTTCTTCTGCCTTTGGCTCTTTTCTTTCCTTTCCTCTGTGTCTCTTGATTTGAGTGTACAGCAGGCCACATTTAAAAGCAGGATGTTCTGCAGTATCGCCTTTCCTTCTGAATCATTGTCTCCTAAATACTTGATACAGTACATAGTGTGCGCGCACATGTTTTCATGTAGAAAAGAGATTTTTTGTGGCTCTTCTCGGCCCACCCTCTGTGTTCTCGTGTTTCTCTTATCCAAACTCTAAACGGGACATAATGATTGAGATGGGAAAGAGATACTACATGTTCTGCCTTGAGATAATGTAAACATTGGTTTAGACCTGAAGCTGTAGTATAAACTGCATGATTATTAAGATTTATGCTCCTGAATATGTCAGGTGATTAGTTTTTTTGTGTGTTTTAGAGGGAGCTTTCCCCCTAAAACATGTTCAAGTGCAAGCACAATCTATGTTGCCTAATGCAAATTGACGTAAAGCAACGTTTGCATTACGTTTCCTGTGTATAGATACATTTTGTAATAGCTGATAAACATAAAACCTTTTTAAAAATCACCACATCTCAATAGCACATGGCACTCAAGCATTTCTCACACTGTAAAGACTGTGCTGCAATCATGTTTTCTATTCTACTTTGAAACTGAAATGGCATCTTTTGTCATGTTTTGTGCTTTTCCCCTGTGCTTCCTCTAGTGACCTACAGAGAGACAAGTATGGGAGTAAAACTTAACTTTGCCTATCAAATGTAAATTGATTTCAGCATGCTTTTTAAAAACAACCGAAACCCTGGCACTATCACTTGGTTTACTTTAGGCCATTAACACACACTCAGTGAGCAAGTGGTTCACAAACGTATCTACCCAAATTCGACTCTGATCTGACGACTAATAAAAGATTTATGCATCCATTTGAAGTGATCTTCAAGATCTGACAGCTTTATCGCAAATGCCCATTACTCTGCTTCTCTCTCTCCTCTGCCTAATTTGTGATGTTGACAGACCAAAAATGTGTTGCTTTTACCGACACAAACAAGCATTTATCAGAGAGGTTTCTCTTTTCTTTCTTTTCTTTTCTTTTCCCCCAAATGATCTGTCGTCCTGTGGCTTTCTGGAGTCTCAGTGTCCAGTAGTATTCCCCTCACACCTTTGTAGAGAGTACCTGTCTGGACACTAAATTGCCTCCTAGCAGGCACAAGCACTTAGATGTCATGGCAGCAGCTGTTTAATTGTCCCTTATTCCCCTTTTTTCTTTCTTGTCATTTTCCCCGAATTTTCAATAGAAAAAGTAGAAACTGCAATTTTCACATGCCTCCTACACTCTCGATCACTCCCCGTTTTTTTTTAGAGAAGACAAACACCGCTGTAAAATATCCATTAGTCTTCTTTGTAATTTGTTACGTCTGTTGTTCTTCAAGGAGGCATGTTATCCATAGCAGAGCACATGTTCCTTTATCAGCTCGCTCCATCATAGAATAGCTAATATTTATCTTTTTTTCGGCTGTTTTCCATGACCTCCATGCTTTGAGAAATTCCTAACATGACTGCGCGTGACCTCTGCAGCGGCTGTGTTATTCTTGAGCTGTTCTGCTAGTGACCGGGGTCTCCCTGGGAACTGTCACTGTGACGGATGCCAAGTGCTGGGCTGCAGGCGAGCTCTGACCTCTGCCAGCTTTGGGTGCACAAGCTGCCAACTTATGGATAGAAAGTGTACCAACACAAGCAGAAAAATCTAAGAAAAAATACCAACTACAAAAAAGTAGCTGTTGTCTAAATTCATAAAAGTAAAAAGCTATTTAACGCTTGTTTGTTTTATTTGCTGAACCCTTGCTCTTGCTAAGTTGCAGTTAAGACTTTTACTTTTCGTTTTGTTGTTCTTTTCAGTGATTCTTTTTCATGTTACAATAAATCATTTTACTTTCTTTTGTACATCAGCTGCTCTTAGACCAGATAGCCTGAGCAGACAGACATGATGTGAGTTGTATAAAGTGAGTCTTTTCACCTGCTGTGTGTGGTGATGGTGGAGTGCTGCTTGTGGGCTCCCCTTGTAGTGAGAACAAAGATGGCTGTCCTATGTTGATACATGACTACTTCCCCTCTGTCTGTGTCACTTTTTACCCATCTCTGTCCTTTCTTTCCCTTTGGCACATCCAACCTATTAGTTGCTAGAACAAACCTGTAAGTGTTGTAGCCTGCCCCTTTGTGGCTTCATACCTGTTGACATCTACTTTTGCCCGATGTGTTGTGATGGTCATTACTGTGTATTAATGTTGTTTGGGATCTTTTTCATTGCTGTGTCACTTTTGTGGCAGACTAAAACACACAATGCTCTGCTTAATACAAAGCCATTTTTAAAAGGGAAAGCCAAAATGTACCTGTGAGAGAGTAAAATGATTTCTGCATGCATACGTTAAGGATTGTGCCTAACTAACGGATTTATGGCATGGCTTGATTTGACTTGAGTTTTCTGTGTGAAACTGCATCCTAAACAGCATTAAAGTTGTTCCTTTGTTTGATAGTTTTTGGTGTTGACTAATGTAAAATCCCCTCACATCTCCCTCTCTTTGCAGGGCACTCACTGAACCACGTGGTGAGGGATACAAGTGCAATGGATACACTACCGCTAAATGGTAACTTTAACAATAGCTACTCGCTGCGCAATGGGGACTTTGGCAACAGTGTGCAGGTAGTGGACTGCGGCCTCAGTCTGGACGATGCTGCCTTCGAGAAAATGATCATCTCTGAGCTAGTACACAACAACCTGCGTGCCTGTAACAAAATCCACCATCAGCAACAGCAGCAGCACCACAGTTTACACCACCCACCCCACCACCAGCAGCCCCCGCAGTACCACCATCACCACCACACGGAGCGGGCTCCGCCCAAGGTGACGGTGGTAGGCGGCAGCAGCAGCAGCGAAGACGACGCCATCGTGGCCGACGCTTCGTCTCTGGTGCACGTGGGCGAGGTGGGCCTCGAGCTGCACCATCAGCTGGAGGCTCCGCTCATCCCCCAGCGGACTCACTCGCTTCTGTACGCTCCCCAGAAGAAGGTGAGGACGGATGGGGAAGTGGAAACCTTTGTCAGCGAGCTGACGCCCACCGACCCCGACGACAGTCTGCAGTCCCCCAACAGAGACTCCTTGTACACTAGTATGCCTAATCTGAGAGACTCTCCGAACCCCGAGAGCAGCCCTGACGTGGTGGAGGACCTGTCCCCCTGCAAGGGGAGCGAGATCGAGGACGTTTATTACAAGAGCATGCCCAACTTAGGGTCCGGCCACCAGCTCCAAGCCTATTACCAGATAGGCCGAGGGGGCAGCGATGGTTACATTATTCCTATTACTAAAGATGGGGGCATCCCTGAGGGCGATGTACGGGAAGGACAGATGCAGTTAGTGACAAGCCTTTAAATGTATTTAAATCATCCCCAAATCTCTTCATGCCCTTTAGCAGTCCTGTCCTCTCTAATGAAGTGAAGGGAATTGTTTGTTTTATTTTTGAAGAGAGCGTAGAAGCCCCGTCATACACACTCTCCATTTACAAACATCCTCCTCGAGCTGCATTGCCATCTCCTCCTCCCCAAACACGCCACTCCCGCCCGCCCCCCTCCCCCCCTCCCTGCAGACCTACAGACTTGGTGCACAGTGATGGCAGTGCAAAGTTTTAATGAGACTGTACATACATTGCAGAGATCAATTTTAAGAGACAAGCCAACTATGTATTTAAATGTGCTGCTGCTGTTAAATAATTGAGACAAATTTAAGGTACGAAAATACAAAAAGAAAAAAAAAGAAGCATTACTGGCTACATCATATCAGCAATTTCCTGTTCAAAAGGTTGTACATACACTTTCCAACATCCCCGTTGAAGCCTGTTTTTTTTTATTATGTAAACAATACAACACCCCTGGACCAGGACGTGGACTCGATGTTCCTGATCAGACTGTTGGAAAAGGAATATAAGGTCCTGCGTCGCTCTCCTTCACCATGAAGTTGGATTGTATAACCACTAGCAATCAAGCCCTTGGCCTTATATTTTCTCAACTGTACATTGAACTGTTGTCAAGGAAAATGGCTCAAATATATATTTTGTTGTATTGCTAGTGTAAAATAAAAAATCATGGGAAAGCGTAAATATGAAGAAAACTTTTAATTGCAAATGTTAACGTTTGAGAAACTATTGTGTAGAAGTTGCACATATGATATACAGTGTGTTTATGGTTCCAACACTTCATTCATGGTAGTATGTTTGAACGTCAAGGCTTATAAAAAGAAAGGAGGATTCAACAAATTACAAAGATGCATTATCACTTTTTCCCACTTGTGAACAGTGTTTTTTGCTTAATGAGTTCCATTGATATCGCCCATCAAAATATGTCTATTTAATTTTTGCCAAAGTGGCATTACTTCAGTAGTATGGGGATGCAAACACCCAGGTAAAGTGATTTATTAATTGCACATTGTGGTGTAATTCTGAATGAAATAGATCTTTTTTTGTGGTAGATTGATGGGCAAGCGCAACTGAATTGAAACCGACTTTTGACAATAAAGTTTCTATCATAAACGTAGTTGTTCCGCCTGGGTTTGGACATTTTATTTATTAAAATCTTTCCAAAAAATGAATGGGAAATGTGTAAATATTTCCCAGCACTGGTAAACATGCTGTACTGTAGCTCATGTTTTTTAATGTAAACATGTTACCAAGGGGCTCATCACTTAAGACTGATGTAAAGTTCAACACTTGTATAACAAATAAAATAAATGTGAGATTTTTGGTCAAATGCCAGTTGCTTTTTAATGTTTTGTGTTTTTGGTACTATTTGAGTAAACAGGTTTTAATTATTTTAGCTATGGACAAAATACACTTTTGACTCCGGTTATAAGTAAGTCCCAAGCACCTTGAACGATTTATTTTCTGTTCTGCTTTTTTCCTCAACCGCTGCAGTAGAGCTCATTTCACCGTCTGTGTTAGAGAAGCCAAATCTTTCCATGTGATTCAAAGATGAGAAACTCAGGTAGGAAAATTGCATTGTAAATGTTCCTCTGTGTGGTTGTAACACTAATAAAGGTTAAAAAATGACACTGGTTCACAGCATTGTCCACTTAGTATATTTTTGAATGAGCAGCATAGTCCTGGCTCCATTAAAAAAGCCCGGCTGTTGGCTTTAATGCCGCGTGGGAGTATAAATGCGTCCACGGAACTTACAAGGGGTCAATGTTACACATGGCTATGGTTGTAGAAATATTTTACATATATGTCGACTATGACACGTATTTGCTCTAATTAATGTCTGCTGCTGCTGAAGCCCACAGTCAGTTCCTGTACCGTGTATGCCTCAGGTAATGCTAATTTACGATTCGCATTTTAATACAACACCAGTTGTGGCGGAGTGACAGCTCTCAGCAGGGTAGCTGGAAATTGCAGTGTTTACCATTTGGCATTGAAGGAAATGACTCAGAACTTAGCGAAAATGCACTTTATGTCAGAGCCAGTGCACATAATGCTGTGTGGGATGCATGTTGTTTTGACTTTTCCACAATTATGTGACATTTTGTGCAATTATCGGAGGCTACAAATTGTCAGAGAAGAATTATGTTCTTTTTTTGTGATCTCTTGTATAGACCCCTTAAATGTCAGTTAGGAATCAAGTGTTGAGGTGATTGTTGACTGTTGGAAATGGCAGACATAATGACGTGCATAATAATGAGAAAGAAAATCATATTGATTTCTATCCTGCGTTTTATCCGTGAATGAGAGCCCAAAAGTTTGATTTTCTTATCCATAAAGAGAAACCTTTGTTAATATTAACAAATATAAAAAAAATAGTTTGACAGTCACACAAAATAATTTGTGGGGCTTATCCTACACAACAACTTTTTTGTGTGCAGCATGCTGTGTTAAACTTTAAAAGCTTCTCTGCAGTAAACACTAAAATAAATGTGTCCTTGTCACAAGTTATTCTAACCTTAAAGTTTATCTTTGTTCATTGTTTTTGAGAGCACAACTCACAAAAGTCAATTCTCACCAGCATTTTCTGTTTACCTGAAATAGAAAAGATAACTATTCAGTGCCGGATTCAGTCTAAACAGTCAAATATAAAATCCACATTAAAACACAATCTAACGTTTCCACACCACAAGGTATTAGGTAGTCAGTCTCCTCATATATATATAGACAAACAAATAATTGCCAGACCTTTCCTCACCCCTGTCTCTAACTGCAGTTTGTTTATCCTCACACCGTGACCTCAGACGGGGATACACTCGGCTGGTAAGCAGGTTTATTTTCATTATTAAGGGCTGAGAAATATGAGCTTGGATTGGCTATTTGTCTGTGACAGGGAATGTAGACTCGGCACCCTCTAGCTTTGCGTGTGGCCTTCTCTCCAGGCATGAGCCTCTCTAATTCCCCGTCTCTTGCTCAGGGAACGACTCGCCCTTTGTCAAACATTGATTCAGAAGTAGGCCAGGAGCCGAGGGGCTGAGGGCCCGGCTGCTCCCACAGAGGGGCGCGTCGGCCCCTGGACACCGAGGAGGAGAGTCCCGTCAGCAGAATCGAGCTGGAGCAGCCAGAGATGGATGTGTTGTTGAGTAAACAGAGGCATGAGACTAATGTGTGTCCAAACATGGATATTTATGATTGTCGAGTCAGAAGTAATGTACAGCATCTGAGAAATTTCAGTAGGATGTGATGCAATTACATGAAAGATTTCCCGCTTGATGAAAGATATTTTTTGTTAATCCTAGAATGCACTGATGGTCTTCAACTTGTTCTCTGGGAGACAGAATGAGACTTTTCTTTAAACCACTTGGTATATATACACAGAAACTTCCTAAACATTAAATGAACTAATCATCTGTGTAATACTTTTTGAATGTTTTTTTTTTTATAAAAGTATGCTGTTCCAAATTATCCAATATTTTATTCAAAAATGTGCAGCATTCATTTATTAGTTGAAAGTGGAGTTTAAGAAGTTCCATCTCAAAGATTGTTGTGGGGTTATCAGTAGCCGCTGCAGTAACTCCTGTGAACAGAAAACACAGCGCCAATTATAGATGCCATCAACGTGGATGAAAGTGATTGTGTACATGCAAAGGAAAACCTCTCAAGCCACAAACACTAACTGGCAGCGCAAAAGTAACTTTCCAAACTCTTGAAGTCAAAGGGGACCCTTTAACGGCTCACTCTTTTCTTCCCTCAGCCTCTTTTGTCCTGTCCCCAACTTCAAATGTGCAGATTTGCGGCCCATGGGCGACTTAGATCCGGTCTCGTCGAGGTGAAAAATCCAATTAACCTGCAGCTCCAGCTGCCTTCGTTATAATTCCCTCCCATAATTATGAAATTACCAGATGCAGGATTTCAAATGAAAAAAGGATGAGAGCGAGTGACTCAGAAAAAAAAGATGAAATAAACTATTCCCTGCCAGTACACAGAGTCCCAATCTACCTCAAGGGGGAACAGCTAATTTGTACGACTGGGTTTCAAGGTGAGACCTGCAGAAGCTCTTGTAATCAGAATAAGAAATATCTTAACAAAGGAAGAGGAAGGATGGATCTTGAAATAGCCATTTAGATGAATGTATAGACCAGCAAGTTATGCATGTGTACTGTGGCAGTTTATAAAAAACGTAAGACACACCACATGTGGTTACCCCTCAATAATGCCCATACTTTTGTTTTTTTCAAAGAGCTACCATGATTTTAACTCACTAAACATTAAAAACCTTGAGCTATAGCACACAAGCAAATGCCATTGATTCCTCTACTATTCATTTAGGTGCTGGTTTCCTGCAAAAATAAACCATTTTTATCCTTGTGTAGTGATTGCATTGACTGGTCCGTCCGACAGGAAAGAAACAGATAATGTTGAAAGAATATTTCAAAATCTGTAATATTAAATATTGACTCATTTATCAGAAACATATCGTACTAATGTATGCAGCACATTACACATCAGGAACAACCAATAGAGTATAACACAATTCCCCCACGTAATGTTATGAGTTATCACGTTGTTTCTCAGTAAATAGGCACGATGCATTCTTTACTCGTGTTCAGTTCCTTTGCAGCAGAGAGAGAGTCTGTCTTATCAGTAAATCTAACCATTGTCTGATAAACTCATTGGCACTCGCTGGAGGGAAGCCTCAAGCAATAACGACGGGATCTGCCGTGTACAAGCTTCTGCAGGCCAATATAGATAACTCCCACACTGCTCCCCTGTATGCCCAGACTCATGCAAACTAATCCATTATGCTGCTTTATCACACAGCATCAACATCTCCATTCATCATTCAGCAAGAAGAGAAGGAATAAGTAACAACTTAATGGCCGCTTACCTTCACTTTTTGTTTTGCTAGGGTACCCACTTACGTCTTAACACTCAAAGCGCTGCTGTTGTTGTAATAAGCAAGTTTGGAGTTATAAGAAAACACACTTCAACTTCAAATTGAAGCGGGCCAGCAATCTCAGATATCTACATTTGAACAAAGCCTATCACAGACGCAACTGAAGTTTGTTACCTTTCCTCACGGGAAGATATGATTGTTCCAGTTGAAGATTAGATTAAATGTAACCGGGAGTGTCATGTAAATGGAAACTCAATAACCAATGG